CATAGGATTAGCATTGCCATAGACTTAGCATTACCCATGTTATCTCTATGTCATAGGATTAGCATTACCCATGTTAACGTATAGCATCGCTGTGTGATCCTTGTTTTAGCTTAAAAACTAATTTCATTATCACTAATTCATATCACATAAATGGTATGCAAAACATATACAAATCAAATTTATTTATGCAATAGATTGAAATAGTGCATTTGAACGTTCTCGACTTTCTCTATAAATAAATATACTATAAATTAATTAACTTATTATAATTTACTAATTTATTTAACAAGTTCATAAATGTTAAAAATAATAGTACCATGTTCATTGGTAATAGCTATGTGTGTGACGGTGGCAATACCACTCAAACAAAATAGCGCCTGGGCTGATAAAATATATAAATTTTATCCACAAGTATTGTACGCGTTTAAAAATGAAGGCACCGGACGTTACCTCGTTTGGCACAACGGTGTGAACACAATCGCTAAAACCAATGATACGGATAAAGATTATATCACGTGGCATACATTTAAGACAACTGATTATGCTGAATGGCTGCCTGGAGACGACTGGTTTACCATGGTACACTCAGACAACACCAGTCACCTGGTTAGGTTGACCAAATCGTCCGATCCTGGTTATTTCCACATTTACAATAAAAACTGCCGTACGTGTGTTCATTTCACCATGCTGTTTAATTTAATATTAAGTAAATAACATTGTTTTATTTTTTATATTAGATCATGGTGATTATCCAATTGGCGACTCCCGTGAGACTGGCGTTGTTTTTTGCACAAAACCCAAAAATGCTAATCACGGACTTGAATTCAATTGGAAAATATACGCTGATTTTACTTTAATAAACAATTATAATAAATATGGTAACAGTAATATTAAAATGTCTCGTAAATTATTCATACTGAACATTATTAATTTAGTCGGGGAATTACTGAGCTGGATTATTTAACAGTATAATATCTTTAATCTTAAACATTTGTGTATATATTTAAGCAGAAATTTCACAATTAATTTCTGATTTATTTTAATAGTACAGTTTTAAAACATTATAAAACGTAAATGTAAATTTATTACTATAATACATTTTATATAATAATATAAATTAATACCTAAATAAATAAATAACTTAAATAAACTATCTGATAAAACAAATCTTAATAAGTTAAATTATTTTAAAACTTATTAGTGTAACTTTGAATTGGTTAACATTTTAAACATAAAAACATTAAAATAACAAAACGACAATAAATTGAAAACAAATGAATAAAAAACCACAAATAATACAATACTTTTTAAAACAACTTTATTTTTGATACCATTTTAGTATCAATAAAATTCATCAAATTGTATAACTCTTGTGTGGGTTGTGAGGAGACACTAGTGTCTCACACATACTTGTGGCCCAACTGGTTGTACAAGTAATGAGTGTCGCACTTGTATAAGGGATACGCAAAACGGCCCACAAAATTGACAGGCGGTGTCTTCTTCTTGTAGATCCAGCCGTCGATACCGACGCGTTCGGTCACACCGTATACGGCGGGGCGGCTATAGTAGCGAAACTTGTCCATTTCAAACTCGTCCATCTCGTGATATTGAGCCGAAAGCGAGTACTTCTCGTACACCTCGCGGTCTAACTCACGCTTTCGATACCAATCGGCGCCGATTTTGTGCCAAACTTTCTCGGGATCTTCGG